TCTCTCAAATCCTAATCTCCCGGATTCGTCGCACCTCTACCTTTGTCTTTCTAACCTTATCTCACTGAATTGTAATTCTTGAATAAAATCTTCAAACCCTTGTCTTCTTCATTACCATTAATACCTCTACTATCTTTATCACTATGGGATTTGATTTGACATTTGCGTCTCTGTGCTAATGTGGTATGGCAACCTGAACTTATGTACACACGTACGAAGTTCTACGTTGCAACTGACTGACTACATATTCCTGCTCCGCTGAAGTCTGGTATATTCTCTCCCACAGTAGGTTGTTGTTCATGGTGTATGGACAACATTCAGTGACAGTAGCGGTCATATTGTTAACTACACGTACACTTAGCAAACTGAATAGATCCATTTCTTGTGTATTAAGTAAAACACTAATCACTACAACACTGTCCTAATCATTCGGTATTTCTAAACCGCATTACCGTTTTCTATGAGATTGAATAGGAATCACATGGACGAAGAAACGAGCTGACATGGATTCAAATAACTTCTTGGTGCTCGCCGGTGCTCGCCAAGATGAAATTGAAATTAGAGAAGCACTGGACAACTCGAAAAATTGAATTACAAAAGTTTAATACGGCCTTTCTTCAGGATGAGGGTGAATTCAACAAATATCAAGCTTCACAAGATCGACTCAAAGAAAAGGAAACTACCATGGAGAACAAATGGAAAGGGATTAAAGAAATATTAATTTCAACATTTCATAGGGTTTCGGATCACAAGAAGCACCATCAGAAAGAATGAATCTCTTTCGATACTCTGGATAGGATTCAAAAAAAGAAGAACAGGAAGATAGCAATCAATAGCAGTCGAACAAGAGCACAGAAAGTCAAGATACAGACCAACACATAAGCAAACAGACAGCTGAATGAAGAGTATGGTAAACCAAAATGACCGGTCAAGAACAAAGAAGGTAAAGCAATCATCGACATTCAAAAACAACGAAACAGGTGGGTAGAGTACTTTGGAAGGCTCTTGAGTAGACCAGCTCCACTAAACTCACCTAAAATTGAGGCAGAACCTACGATCTTCCAATTGATGTCAACCCAACAACAACTGAAGAAATCAGTATGGCCGTAAGACAAATCAAGAATGGCAAGGCAGAAGAACCAGACAACATTCTAGCTGAGGCACTGGAAGCAGACATAACAGTAACTGCAAAGATGTCCCAGCAAGATTTGGGAGGAGGAACAAGTGCCAAAAGACTAGAAAGAAAGACATCTCATCAAAATATTAAAGAAAGGAGATCTCAGCAAATGTGAGAACTACAAGGGCATCACTCTTTTCTTGATACCAAGAAAAATCTCTAAAAGTTTTAAAACCGAGTAGAAGATTCAGTAGACGCCCAAGTTCGAGATCAGCAAGGTGGATTCCGTGAAGACAAATCGTGTTCAGAACAAATCTCGACATTATAAATCCTATACCCAGTGTAGCATCAGTACACCTCAACATTAACAAGGGAAAAAGTAAGATCCCTAAATACAACACAGCAAGCACCAACCAAATCACACTTGATGAAGAAGCTGTGAAAAATATGAAAACTTTTACACACCTCAGCAGTGTCACTGATAAATAGCATCACCTTACGTAGATGTGCAGGCATCCAATGGTAAAGCGAAGGCGGAATCGAAGAACATTTGGGTCTTAGAGCAACTGTCAACCAACACCAAAGTCACAATTTTTAGTGCAAACGTCAAGATAATTATATTTATTGGAGCGGAAACTTGGAGAACTACAAAGTAGTCAGTAATAATAATAATAATAATAAATCTCGAAAAAAAACCGGTAACTTACTTAGATTGTTTTTTAGTTCCAGATTTTTTCGATAAAAGCTCTTTTTCCTTTTCAGATTTGACCACTTTTGAAGCTTCTAACTTAGATTGTTCGCATTTCGTTGAATCAATGTGATTGGATAGCTCTGCATTTGTCAACTTGTCAGAAATCGATTTACTATTATTGGTCATATTTTCATGGGTAGTTGCGGTTGTTTTTGATTCATTTTCTAATGTTTTTTGTTGTTTAGCTTTTAGCTTGCCCTCTTTTCTTTGCCTCTTTCTTTTCTTCTTTTCGACGTTGTAGTTCAGCTGCTTCCTCCGGTGTCAGATTATCGATTTTGACAACCTTTAGAAGAAAATTTTTAAAAAAAACACATTTATAATGTGACTGCTTTCATAGAGCCGCATATGGTGTCCAAACACGAAACGCAGCCAACATTTTAACAACGAGATAATCGAAACGATTTCAAATGGAATTAAATCTTCATACCCGGTTACACAAATGAGTGGCTATCTGGACTTAGTCGGTTAGTGGATATTTGAAGCAAACAATACTCGATTTGAGTTTGGGATTGAATATCCGGCTCCAAGATGAAGGTAAATCCAACCGACGAGTCCCAAATGGGAAGAAATGCACGTTTTGGATTCCACTACTAGTCACAGTCTAGCTATCCCATGAAAACAATGTAAGATGATTAGTGTTAGGATATTCACCAAATATCCTAAGAATACTATTTTTAGAAGTACAATCCTATTGGCCGAAATTATGATCGTTCTAACCGTCAAGGTCAAATACTTCAATGTTGCCTCTTATTGGTCATCTGGACTGTCAATGTCATTCAAATGTTCTTTTCTATTGGTTGGCCTAAACTGTCAATGTCAAAGACGTTGATGCTCTTTCTTATCCGACCTTAATGTATAAATACGCACTATCTGAAAGACTTAATGATTCCGTTTCCCCTGTCTACCTCTCTTCCGTATTCGACCCAATAAACAACTTCCTTCCACGGCGTTGCGTTCTGATATCTAGGAGATTTGGAAATAGCATTTTGTGTCGTATTGCGATATTTGAATTGGACGCCGCTAGGACTGAATAGCTATACGTAGCAGCGTTACAACAATAAGAGTATTTGCTTTTCAAGTAAAGAATTGTTTCATACGAGGCCTATGCACTAATCGGTAACTAATTCAAGTAATTTGCTATTTTTATTACATATGACTAATTATATGCACAGTTAGTTTAGTCATTTCTGATCAATTACAAGAGTTAAGCATGAAAATCTTTTTGAGTTATTGTATTGGTACTTTATTATAACATTTACCTAATCCAGTTGTTGATTATTTTATTAATCTTGAGCAGATTGTGTGCACATAAGACGAACATCTTAGCAAAAATCAAAATATTTAGTAGTTTACATTGCAAACCGACTGCGGTCAAATAAATAGTGAAGGCACTAACATGTCTCGTTTTAGTATAGGACTCCTCGATAGTGCATATCCACGACGCCACTGGGAATCGATTCCAAATCTCACAGCGAGTTGGACATTGAGACTACTGAGTCGGCATCCAATAGCTTATATTTCAAAGTTTAATGGATTTGTGACTGTCATAGTCAAAAATTATCATTTTATTATACCAACTGTGGTTTTCTTTCAAGTAACGCATCTTTTTTAATCACTTGAAACACACTTGTTGAGTTATAAAGTTAGAACTGAAATAAATATGAAATTATCGAACTCAAGTACTGAGGCTATTACACATCACTTATATAAGGGGTCTTGATGTTGACAGCTAAAAGAGATAGCAACAGTTATTTAGAGAGAGAATCAATTGGTTTCAAATGTTCTAATGAGTTATAATGGTAAGTGCAAACCTGGTTAAGGTACGCGCGATTATTGTAACCAGCAGTTGGAGAGTCTGAATCACATGACCCAGAAGTATTCACTTCCCATCTTAAAACATTTGCTTTTAATTCAGGAAATAAATATTTCTTTTAATGCATCACATTGACTGTGCCCCGATGGTTTCTGCCGAAAATGATACTACTACTATTACTTTTACCATTCTGTTATTGGTCTTGATAATTTGGACTTCTCGTGTTGATGTAATGTGAAAACTTGAGTCGATGCACAAACTCTCAAGGAGCGAACTTTAAAGTAGGTCGGTACAGCTATCCTGTACTTCACAATTTTTCAGATATCATTACGTAATTACAGCATCTACTTTCAAAATCTTCAAATTACTCAATCACTGAAACAAATGATGTAAGGAGGAGTGTGATAGGAAATATTAATCTCCCTGCTAAAAAAAACTAACTCACTTTATTAGTTTTGACAGATCCTGATTTTGCAGATGACACAGTTTCAGACTTGGTAACAGAAGTATCATCTTTAGAAGAACCATCCG